ATTTTCGGTTGTTCCCTTGTTTTTGTAACCTCCGTTCTTCTCCTCCTTGTTCTTCCTCGTCCTTGTTTTTTCGCATTGCCCTCCTCCTTCCCCAATCTCCATCCTTGTAAATTACCCGGCTCGTCTTCAATTCCAGAGGTTCTGGCATTTGCTGGGACTGTCGCTACGCTATTCCATTGCGTCTCCTCCAGCGTGCACACAAGTGCCTTGTACACTTGTGTGAGCACGGAAGTGTGAGAAGACCTCCAGACACTGCCACAGTTCTGGGCAAGCAGCTCGCCCAGAATGTTCCCACAGGTCACAGCCACAATTCTGGGCGAGCAACTCGCCCAGAACGTTCCCACAGCCTCCAAGTACTGCCACCCGGACCTTCCCTATGGTCACACTGGTACATTTCCTTTTATGGGTGCCATGGGAGTTGAGATTCCAGACTCGTACCCAGCCATCTCCATTATAAAATCTGGACTAAGTGGTTGTTATTGTTGCAAGTTGATTTCCGGAGTAGGTTGTGGTTATGTCCGTCACATGTGACTTTTGTATTGTAATGGTAGCTATTTAAATTGTGAGGCTATGCAATTTTTTTCTCTCACTGGGGTGCAGGAAGGATTGAGGTGGGGGGAGGGAGGGCCCACTCTTCCCTTACTAGATAACAATCCCAGGTTCTCTTACCTGTGTCCAAGGCAGGGTTGTGTTGTGCCCGATAGCGCGCCGTTGGGATATCATAGCACAGCATCCCTTGGAACCCTGCATCCTTCCCCCGAGTCGAATTCCTGGTGTGAGCCTTTTCTCTCCTATTTCATTGAGAGCTGAACTTGTCCAGTATAACCGGCATGAAGGTGGGGAGTCGAGGGAGTCGAGGGTAGTAGACCTCTGGGTAGGAACCCTTTGATGTATCCAGCACTTACATCTCTCATTCCCGCGCAGCATTCCCGTTCAGCATTCCCATTCTTATTTTGTTTTTCCCCCACTTTGGCGTATCTGCTGCTCCCTGGGAGTCCCAATACTTTGATATAAAGGGATCAGAGCACATCCCTCAAAGTGTTCCCAGGCAGACGCGTCATCGTGGCTTTTTCTTTTTCCATATCTCTCTTTTTTATTTTCCATGATCCCCCTTCTCAACTCAGAACATCTGTTTCTTGCCGTTGAAAACGTCGGTCTCAATTTGTATCGATCACTGAATCCTCCGTATCAGTCTCGGCCGCTGAAGTTTCCATATCAGATCCTCTTGGGGAATCCCTTTGACGAGAGTTCAACTCCGTACGACTCTTCACTTAATTTTTCCCGCTTCTAGTTGACTTTCTGCCCTATTTGCGCTCAACCGCATTTCCAGACTCTCATTTAGTTTTCTGGCGATCAGATCGACGGTGTCTATGATCTATGGTGGTGGGTCGCTTTGTGTACGCCCTTAGCCTCCATTTCAACGCCTCGCATTGGTCCAATGCACTGTCAGTGCTCAAGTTCACCCCGGATCTCTATGGGCATTTGGCTGTAGGCGTCTTTGGGTGGGCTGCTTTGTGATGGCCTTCTGTGTCATTTTTGGCTGATTTGGCCGGTCCTTTGGGCCATTGGCCCGGATCTTACGTTAGGACCTTCATCCTAAGCTGGCGGACGATCTGCTGCCGTTCGAGCGATTTTGTCGACGGGGGGATGAGTTTTTGGCTGGTTTGATGATTTTTGGTGCGTTGGTCATAATTTTCCCCCTTTCCATGCCTTTCTTCCCCCTTTAACTCGCCCTTCTGATGTCCTGTGACGCCCTTAGAACCTATTCCCACATCTGATCCCCCCATTCCTTAATTTGCATCATTCATATCCACCCAAGCCCGCGTGTCCGCAGTTGCCGGTTCATGATCTCTTACACGCTTCAACAAACAAGAGTTCAACAACAACAACGATGTCTTTAGTGTCTGCCCACCTGCTTACTACGGTCATTGCATCTGACCGTGTGCCCCACTCGCCCTTCCCTGAGCCTCCCATACCACCCATACCACCATCTCCATCTCGCTCGATCGTCGCTGCCTGTCTCCATCTCCAAGTGCTTCCATCATTCGATTTGTCTCTCGACTTAGTATGCCCGGAATAATATTGTTAACTTCGGGAGAACCACTGGTCAATTAGAAGGATTTGGACTTATCGGTAAGTATGCCCATCCCCACTTCTGACCTCTTGTTTCAATGGCTCGCGACTAACGTTGCTTACTTGCTTGGATCGTCACGCTCAGTTGACTCTGCCCAAAATTTCGATCCTGCATGCAAAAATCGAAGCAGGAAACGCCTCATCCTTTCCATCTGCTTCCTCCATCGTCATTTCGGGGCGTTGCTTCGGACCATCTATGGGGTTCTGGTGATCCAACATCCTAGCCTTGGCACCATTATCTTAGCATCTGTCTGACTCGGCTTGACACAGGTTTGGGGGAGGTCGACTCTGAGCACATCGCATTGCTACCAGACTTGTCATTTACATGAACCCTAAACGAGAGCTGACTGTTTGTACATGCGTAATCAATCACTCTCAAATGATGTGGTGCAGGATAAGATGGTCTGGATGAGGGTTTGCGTCAAAACTAAGAAACCCATACCGATGGGATCGTGAAACAAACATTTGGATGCTCATCAGTACTGCAGCGACATCGTGGGTAGGTGACCAGCCAAAGCTCTCCGTTCGCATAAACGTTCGGATGGAGCATATTTGGCAACGGTGGCAGGTTTGTTGGGATAGGACTCATTGAACGTCAGAAGCAGCTTGAAAAGCCTTGAATGTTCCATCGGCTACTTGGTGGCCTAAGTTCGAATAGGTTCATTGTGCAGCACCCCAATAGTACTTAGCGGCTGCTGTAGCCTGTTAGAGTGAAGAAGGTCTAGGGACCCGTCGGACCGCTCACGATTTGACCTATCGATCTGGGTCAGCTGTATGTATGTAATTGTCACGGAGTTGGCCCAATTTATTGTGTCTGGTTCACTGCCATGGAAGTCTGGTGCCTTGTCGTCGATCACGATAACAGGCCTACTGGAGAGTCGATCCCGGTTGGGATATCTTCCAAAACCAATGTCGCTGGCTTGAAGGAGATGGTCAAGGCCAAGGCACCTCGTGTCCTTAGCGACATTGATGCATACGAGCTCGAAGTGTGGAGATTTACAAACTCACCAGCTAATTTCGTCGATTATGATCGTGAAGTGCTTAAGGAGCTAGTCAGCAAGGCATTCTCTAATAGGGGGGTTGAAAAACTCCGTCCAAGGCAGTTAATAGAACGCTTGATCAATTCAGATCGAAAGGCAGTGTCAGCTGGAGAGGCACTGTCAAATGGAGAGGCACTGCTCGTCAAGTTGCCTGGTGCGTCAACACTCATCCCGATAAGTAGACACCTGACTTTGTGACAGGCCCAAAGCCACAGACAGAGGACGACAGTGAGCATTCAACACGTTCGTTCCCCCCTCAAGCTCGTCTTTAGTGCCACAATTAGATTACCGTGTCCTCGAACTTCAATGTCTCATTCGTGACGATGATGCCAACCGCATCTTTCCAGTGGAAATTTCGGATACAAAGACTGTTGGTGCCCTCAAGAAAGCCATCAAGGAGGAGAAGAAGCCCGCACTGGATCACATTCTTGCAGACACCCTCACACTCTGGAAGGTTTCCATTGCAGTCGATCACAGTTTCAGCGAGGCTATGAAGACCGTCGAACTTGAAGATGCCGGATCGCTATCACCTGTGGATATATTATCCGAGATTTTCCTCCATCCGCCTCAGCGTAGACATCTCCACATTGTCGTCCAGGTTCCACGTATTAGTGAGTGCATGATTTGTGTTACTCCTTATCTGTTTGAATGGTATTGGTTGTGCGACTGCCCCGTTTTGTACTGCCAGATAGTAAGTTATGGTTTCGCTGGCTCAGCTCAGTTATTGGTATTCCCTCTGGATCGATTTTGGTGAACCTGACGATGGCCCTTTCCCCAAGGCAAGAGTGTTCCACCTTCATCATATAAAGGCAACTGTGTCGCCAAGGGCCGGGGGGAATGGGCTTCAAAGTTTGCGCAAAAGGCGCCTTCGGAAGAGCCCATCCGTGTCGACTTGGAGAGTGCCCAGAAATGCAAGGTGGTTGACATGATCGACTTTTTGCTCACGTTCTGCCTGTGGGGAAAGGGCAAAGTTGTCCCCGCTCGTGATGAGTGGGTGTTTTCGCCCGAACACGTCAGGCACCTGTCGAAGATGCAATGGGATCCCGATTGCTTATTCAGGTTTTTTCTAGGTTTCGTTATCTTCGGTTGTTTCCTTGTTCTTTGTAACCTCTGCTCTTGTTCCTCCTGTTCCTCGTTGTCCTTGTTTTTTGTGTTACCCTCCATCCCCGGTCTCCTGCCTGTTAATTACTGGCTTCTCGTCTTCAATTTCAAGAGGTTCTGGCATTGGCCAGGACTGTTGCCACGCTATTCTGTTGCGTCTCATCCGGCATGCACACAAGCCGTTCATTAGGCGGTTTCACAGTTGGCTAGATTGCTAAACTCAGGAACTAAACTGAGCCTAATCCAGAGGATGTCAGGAGTGAGTTTGGGGTGGGTTCAAGCGGCTGTTAAGACAAGATCAAAAGCGTTGATCCTGATTGCCAATATTAACCATTTGTTTATTCTTCATATTGTCTCTTGATCCGCCCACTCCGGTCCTATTTAGTTAGTTGTACTTATAACTTGTGTAGGTTACACTGGATGCCCTCGTCTCTACCCCTTGTCGTAAGGCTCCCATCCGAAATTGGGGCACCAGTGTAAGAACGAGCACAGCACTCCACCCGAGTTGCTGAAGCTAACTTCCCACCCCTCCGACCTTACGAGCCCAGGTGATTTCATGCAACCCTCTGGATACGTATTCCTGACAGATACCCAACCAGCGGTTGGGAAGGTGTGTCTTCCTTGGTGGGACGCTGTCACACACCATTGCGTTAGACAGCAACGCGGTTTTTTTTTTTCAATAGCATTCCATGCTCAGGCCCTGACAACAAAGGAATAAATACACAACTATTCATTCTGCCATTCCTGGCTCCAATATTGATATCCTATGTAACGATTCAGCATCGTGTGATCAGGGGTCCCCAGCAGATGGTCCGACTGGGAAGTGTGGTTGCTGCTTGTACCAGGCACTTGAGAGCGTTGCGACGTTTGCTGTTCATATCCAACACCCTGTGATTCTACTACCGTCACACCCCCACTCGGTCCATCCTGTCCCATCCACAGGTCTTCTGGCATCGAATCAGCATCCCACTCCCACCCATCAGAGAGCAGCTCTTTCAGCGGGCATTGAGAGTACAGATTGTCTAACATACGTGTATCCTCCTGGCATGCATCCAAGGGAGGAAGAGCAGCATCAGGTAACTCCTCCAGCATGGATCCAGCAGCATCTGGCTCATCCGAGGATGGATCCTCTGTCGCATCCTCGTCGCAGTCATCCTGCTGTGTTCCCACTGGAGCAGTACCTTGAGTCTGGTGATCACGGTGCAGTGGGCCTATGGTCAAAGGAGGGGTTCCCACCCACGCTCGACTTGCCACTTGACGCCAGCGATCGGGTCTCAGCACGACTGCCCTGTCATCGATTTGGTCAGAGGCCCTTCTGAGTTTCTTCGAGGTTGGACAAGGGGACGATGACCTTCTTCTCTTCCTTGAGGATTGTTCAGGGGTTGTTTGTGGTGATGATGATGATGACGTGGGTTGTGCTGGTGGGGGGATGCTGGCCAAGCTCATCATGTCCTTGGCAGTGACTTTGCCATCCATGATGGCACTAGATATCAAGGGTTCCTGCACCATCTGGAACAGGAAATCCTTCATTCGGTGGGCCTTGTTCCAGCAATCATAGTCGGGCAAATCCTTTTCAAACATTATTCGCATTTGGAACTGAAGGTCATCCAGGAATAGGTCGACGTCACTGTGGGGCACCAAGGAAGGGAGAGAATCATCATGGCCAGAATTATGGGAAGGGGGGGAAGATGTAGTATCCAATGACGATGCCATAACAGGCGGCAAAGGAGACGCCATCATCCGCTCCAATGCATAACCCTGTGTGTCCCCGATGTTGTTGGGGGGTGGGACTGGGGGAAGCTCGTCGTACCTGGCCTTTGCCTGATTCATAGCTGTAGAGTCCTCTTGAAGCACGTCCTCCACTATACTGTGAAGCTGGTGGTTGAACTCCTCTGCCTCATCCAGCTCCCTCTCCTCCCGATCCAGCTCGACCCGCTTGCGTTGCACCATCTCCCTAGACTTTTCCACCTCATCACGGTGCGAACTCAGCTGTCCAAGGTGGTAGATACTGTCGTAGTACTTGTCCACCGCACCATCCAGCTGCTCCACGACTGCCTCTGACACCTGTCGAAGTTCCTGGAAGCGGTCTGGGGAAGCCGCTTCGATGACTACCCCAGAGGTGAAACGATAGGCCTTATCTTTCCATCCAGCGAACCGTCTCAGCAAGGCCCACCACCCTTCATTTCTCCTGACCATGTCTGTGATCCGAGCGACATCGAACCTGTCCAAGTTGTCACTCGTCTCGTCCACATCCTGTTTCTTGAACGTGGCTTCCACTGTGCCTTGACGGATCAGGCGAGATAGGAGGATCTCTTCCAGTAACTGAACCGCATCATGAGAAAAAAGGACAAGAAGACAGCGAGAGTACTCTTACACCATCAGTGTTATGACCCTTAGCCATGCATAGTTTTGGGAGCGCAGTGTCCCAAAAGAGCTCCTCGTTATCTTGAGTGAAATGGAATGCATCCACATCCTCTTGCTTCCTTCTTCCACCATGCCCTTTCATCCGACTCATCATCTTCTTGGCCTGCTTCTCCCCAAAGACGATGTAGACCAACTGATATGTAGGGCTTCAATGAACAACACCAAACAAGGACAGAAAGACTTACGAGAATGAAGGTCCTTCGTATCTTGGACATCTCCAAGTTGACTCGCGAGTTGTTTGCCTGGAGATAGGCTGGATGTAGGAACTTGGAGAGACGTCAAGAAAAGAAAGGAAGGGGAAAAAAAAAAAAAAAAAGCTCACGTCATCAGGGAGGAATCCCCAAGTGTTCGACTTGCGGTCCTGAAGGGCATTCCTGAATCCATCTGGAACCCTCTTCGCCTCCGAGATCGCCCCTTGGCTGTATATCGCATTCGGTTTGTTGTCCAACACAGCGGTCCACCTAGGAGGGTGCTGGAAGTTGATGGACCACGAAAGGGCAAGGTCCAACGCAGTCACTGACGTTACCCCCCGTGGTTGCACCAGGGCACTCAGCTGCGTGATGTGAGTTCTTATCAGCTGTGCATAGAGCTTTCCGAGGTGTCAGACAAAAAGACGACGAAACTGCATGTCGCTCACCTGATGCATCCCACAATGAGTCCACCTTTCCATGCTAGATGGCACTTTTTCGCATTCCCTCCAGCATGGGATCGTGAGGAGGTCCCCAATGGCCTCTGCCAGCTCACTCGATCTCCATACATCCCGCAACGGCAACATCTCCTTCTCCTCCACCGCCCTCCAGGCTGAACCCAGTTCCATCGTAGCCGGTGCCGGATTCTTCGACTTGATCACCCCATGCATGACTGAAAACATGTAGTGCCACTTGTTTGGCACCTTGTCCTCCATCTTGTTATCTTTGGCCAGCCAAACATGGAACATGACTTCATGGTTCTTTCGAAGAGCTGATGATGAAATCAATGACATGATGAGACGGAAAGGAGGATCTTCTCACATTGCCCATAGAGCTTCACCTTCCAAAATGCGCGGGGATGCGCATACACCGCCTCTATTGGGAATTCCTGTGAGGACACTTCCTTGTCAGGATGTGCAAGTTCATGCTCTTGCTGCAGCAGAGTCCTTATATGCATTTCCAGCACCCTCTTTCGGTGCTGGCCATGGACGACCTGTACCTGGATGTCTGCAGGAAAACTTTGGAGGTCCAACCCATCATCGTCAGGAAGCAACCCCGTCATCTCGTGCATCAAGGGGTCGATGCTGCCCCCCCAAGTCTCATGGTACCTGGCGACGAACTGTTCATCTACTTGGCGGTTGCCTTCCAGATCGACCAGTTGACGAAGAGGAACCTAGGTGTGTATGAGTGCATGTGCATGGAAAGCATAACTACTTCACTCACGATGGCAGAGCCCTTGTACATCCGATCTCGGTAGTCGCTGAACTTGGTCCACATATTTCTTGCCATTATTGGACGATCCTCATGGATCGATGGCAGTATTTAAGCATTTCCAGAGGCACCGACAGCTCGGTTACACTGGACGTGCATCTGAGTGAAGACGGCAGCCAAAATCAACTGTTCCTGAGAATGGAAGTTTGGGTTCATATTGAGCAGCTCCGGCTTATTCTATGGAAGCGAGATCTACATGGCAACACCGACCCATACCGTAAGCCAAGCACGAGAGAATGATGATGGGAGGGTAGCAACGCAACAAGGAAGCAAAAACAATTGAACAACCAAACATAAACAAACAAACAAACAAACAAACAAACGATCCCCTATATCTGGCTGGTTTGGGCTTATGAGCATGAAATCGGTGTTTGGGTTCACCTAGAAAAGTCAGCCAACAGCCATGTACCTCATACTTTGCCTACCTTTGTGACCAAAACCACAGACGATTTGAAATTCCAACCATATCAGGGATCCAGGCGGTGATAGGCGCGGGAGAAAGTTCGAAATAGCAACAGGCCCTGTGATGGCCAAGACCGGTTTGTGCACGACAGGCAGGCAAGCAGCAGCAAAGTTAGTGTGGCACAAACATTAGAGGCCTCGTTGAGCAATGTCGAGTGACCAAGGAAAGTACAAGATTACCGGAAGAATGCGAAAAAAGAAACAGATGCCAAGGACCAGTTATGGATGTAAATTGAACTGGGAACAAAAACGATACAAGTGGAAGGCAGATTGATGTGCAGTGAAGAACGTTGTAATGGGTCTATCGCCTAGACTCGAGACAGAGAGAAGGGGGAGGGTGGTAGTGTGCGCGGGTGTGGTTCGTTGGGCCGGGTCTTGGTCCTGGGTGCTACCGAGTCTGCAAAAACCTCAAACAAACACTCACCTATGTCTCTCTTGGACGTCAAGGCTGAGGATTCTGATAAGAGGGGTCTTAGACGTTATCAACTAGCTCAATGGGGGCGTTAGGGTCGTGGATGGCGTCTTTGCCACTTGGATGCAACTTCTGCTTGTCCCTTCACGGGTCTATTCAATACTAACTTGTTATGTACAAGTTGTTATCTAGTTTATATATGTTTGAAATGAAATGAATGGACTGGGGGAATGTAAACGGGCCGTTAGGCAACCGTAAATAATGAATATCCAATTGGGAACAAAGAAACAATAAGAGAAATATGAATGAATGGGGGATATATCATAACGGGTCCGAAATGGGAAATGTAAAAGTTAACTCCGCAACGCTTCGCCACAGCGCCCGCCTATCCTCCCGTCAGCAACCTCCTCATCTCCAGCTTTCCAACGAGCCCTTATTCGTCCCAATTGGTGCAGTGGTTCTTGAGATGTGGAGAGGGGGTGAAATTGGCGGCGTGGTTGGGCGTGGGAATTTTGCTTGGGGTTGTCGGGAATGATGGGGAAAATAGGGAAAAATAAGGAATGAGTTTGTGGAGTGTTGGATAGTAATAGAATGAACATCAGGAGCGTCAGAGGGTATGTGGTATATGTTGGTGGCCAAATTCCGCAGAATCCGACTTTTTGCGGTACACGGAGTTGTCCCCACAACAACGTCCAAGCGTCCAACAGAATACAAGCAAGACAGAGAGTATGTACCAAAAGATGATAAAAACTTATATAGAGAAAACAACTCAAGAGAATACCATGTTAGGTTACGTGAGTCCTCCTTTTCCCTACATGTACATGTCAGGTTCAGTCTCAGTGACAACCCTGGGGGAGGGCATCCGGAAGTTGTTGGAGCTCCGGCCGACTCCCCATAATAGGTACTCCCCCGTGGGAAGGTTCTGGGCGAGCAGCTCGCCCAGAAGGTTCCCACAGCTGTGGCTGTGATGGTTTCTGGGCGAGCAGCTCGCCCAGAAAGTTCCCACAGTTGTGGCTGTGATGGTTTCTGGGCGAGCAGCTTGCCCAGAAAGTTCCCACAGTTGTGGCTATGATGATTTCTGGGTGAGCTGCTCGCTCGGAAACTTCCCACCAGTATGCGAGGAGGAAGTTAGGTATCACAATACACCCAAGAGCACACACATGGACCCATGTGACATCTTTAATGATATGTTGTCTAAGCTATTATTGTCAGATGCTTATAATACCCAGCGTCGTTGAGTGGCAATGTCCTCGCACGAAAGAAAAGCACCAAAGCGCATACATGCAGGAGAGCTAGGTATCTCACCGCCTGACACGAGGGCACATTACTATTTTGATGAGCAACATCGGTAAAAGAAGAGTACAAGCAGAGTGGAACTGTTACGCCATTTCTTATTGCCCTCCCATCTCCCCAACAGCCACGATTCGTACCCACATATGGTTTCTACCTTGGGATCACCAATGTAGTTGGCCAGACCCTTACGGAGCGCCTCCGAGCCTAGGACCATCCAGGCCATTTCAGGAATCATATCAGGAAATTTGCACCCGTCCTTCGTTGGACAAGTGTGCACCAAACTAGAGTCCATGTTGAGGAGGCATTTCCAACAATACCCCTCAATGTCCTTACCGTCCCCCTTGGTGCAAAACAGGCCACGCTTCCACTTCCACTTGTGATATCCCTCCTGATATTGTTGCCATCCCTGTCGTGTGGTGGTGCCAAGACAGCATGATGTGAGGTGTGAGCAGTGCGTACCATGCAACCAACACAGTAAGCACCTGCCCTTGAGTTCCCGGAGACATTTTTCCACTTGAATGGGGACGGCAGAAGAAGCGTTGGATTTGGACAGCTGGAGCGAAGCGTTGATCTCCAAGGCCGAAGGCCCACTCTTTGAAGTGCCAGCCGATCGATCGGTGGAAGAAGGTGTCCAAGATCCATGCGGTTGCATCGATGTCTGCGAACCTCCATCTATCACCATGGGCTCATCCCCATCATCCGCTGCTGCCCTCAATATGGGCCACGTCAGAGGGAACGCACAGGGAGAGAGGAAGGGAGAGACTCACCGAAAGGTTTACCCCAGCGGAGATCGAAATCATAGTCATCCAGCTTGCCTTTCTTGTCCTTGTAACACGCCACACACAGCACCGTCCCCGGCTCTGACTCCCGAAGGCCCATACAGTTTTCACCCTTGCTATCCAGATGCAGCGAAGGCATGACCCGATGGCACATCGTGTACTGTTGAATGGCCTTCGTCATGGCCACACGACCCTCGAAACACTCCTGTGTGGCGGAAAAGCGCTTCGGAGGAGCTGGAAGCAACACAAGGCTCGTTCCAACTTGCAGACCTCGAGCCACCCTCCCCGAACTCTGGTAGAAGTCGTTCACAGAGAAAGGTTGCCCAACGAAGATCGAAAAGGCTACAGCATGGTAATCGAAGCCATAGTAGCCTGCCTTGTTGAGGCACAGGATTCATCGCTTCCCTTGATGCCAATCATCGAAACGGCAACGACGGTCATCGGATGGGACGTCAGCAGTGATGTACAAGCAGTGCAAGTGCGTGGCCCATTCCATGCATTCCTCTTTGCTCACGAAGAACACCAACCCCCGTTCATCGCCCTTCAGACCCTCCTCCACCTGGCGGATGACCTCGACCGTTTGTGCACGCCATTCCATGTTCCAGGCCGTCTTGACGTCTGGAAGATCCGTCTTGCAAGGCTCTTGACCCATCCCCAGTACCACGAACTGGTAGAAGATCTGTGGCCGTTGGGTCCTCGTGCGGATCACCACCGCAGACTGGTCTGGACGATACAGGAGGTCAGCAGCCTTCCAAAACTTCCAGGTGAAACCCCGCGACATCGTGCCCGACATAAAAAGGATGGGGGCATTCTGCAGCTGCATGAGCTTCCGGACGGCATCGAGGTAGGCTGGATGGAACAGTTGATCTTCTACGATCCCATGTGCCTCATCGAACATGATGCATCCCAGCCTTCCATTGTTCGCCACTCCTGCAAGCCAATTGATGAATACGTTGTTGCTGAAGGACTCAATGGCCACAGTGACCACTTGCTCCCCAGGAGATGGAGTTTCCATCGTCCATTTGCAATTGGATATGTTGGATTTGCTCAAGCGCCTGTGCATTTCCGGGTGGAGGATCTGGTAGGGCAACACCAAGATCGATTGCTTGGTGATCCCCCAAGACATGGCAGCAAGCATGAACGGTAACGTCTTACCAGCACCACAGCCAGCAACGTATAGGCAATGACGCTGCCTCTTCATGATCTCACAGTAGACCTGGTACTGTGCAGGGGACCGAAAGGTTGCTTTTTGATCCCTGAGTAGGGTTCGAAGCTTGTCGGTGGCCTTTGGATCGTATAGCCTTGATAACTTATTGCCATCTACCTCTTGGGGGACAACGATGGGGAGTAGGGGGGTCGAGGACTCTGAGGGAACTTCTTGGCTTAGGTCTCCATAGAAAGAGAGGACGCTCACCTTCATCAGCGGCTGCAAGGGAAGGAAGCTCTTCTTCGGGAGGTTGTTGTTGTTGCTGTTGTTGCTGTTGCTGCCGTTGTTGTTGTTGCTGTTGCTGTTGTTGCTGTTGCTGTTGTTGCTGTTTCTGTCGTTGTTGCTGCCGCTGCTGCTGCTGCTGCTGCTGCTTCCCCGTCTCCGAATCCCCTGGTTGGACATGATTGTGTTGGGGTCGTTGTTGTTGGTTGACCACTGTGGCGCTGCCCACTCCAGGGTTCCATTGGCTGCGTTTGATGTACCGGAGCCCATCGTCCTCTTCTTGTTTCGGTGGATCTTTCAATCCAGGTGAGGCATGGATATTATCCTGACGTGACAAGGTTCCCATGAATCATGTGTAGTCAGAAGACGTTAGTGAACATACCATTGCTTCGCCCAAGGGCGGTTCCTCCCACTCGAACTCATCATCCACTATGGCTGCAGGAGTAGATGCATCGGGAACGGGTGGAGGGGTGGTGTGTACTCCGTTCAGGGAGTGAAGCGATGGAGGAGAGGTTGTCGTCACAGCAGGAGGTGGTGGTTTGCCTTCGCTACTCATCATAACCCCTAGCCGAGCCATGAGACGTTCCTCCATACCAAGGAGCTGAGGCATCACATCTTGCTCGATCGCCTCCTTTAGTAGATTCCGTACCATGCTCGAGATATCCAGTTGTTCCGCTGCTGCCGCCGCTGACTGTGGTCGTCCAGCATGACTGAGATCCGGCTCACTCTCCTTCTCGGCCCCCAATAGCTGGCTCATGGTCGTTTCATGGTCCAAGACCGTTTTCAGATCAACCACACGACCACGTACAGGGAGCCCAAGCACCTTGTCGTGCCACAGGTGACTGGTTGCATGGAAGAGTGTGATGACACGATCATTGATGCCACCAACCTCATCCTTCTGAAGACCATAGATTTTTTCCGACGTCGTTGTGAGCCGCCCCGCCTGGGCATCCATCCCCGTCGTCATCTCGTCCTCCTCCGGATCGATGATGCCAACCTCCAAACGTCGGCCGATCGCAGCAGCCATATGCCTGTATGTGGACACGTCCAGACCTGCTCTGAGGTAATGTGTCGTTTGCGCATGGAGGCTTGTGCTCAGATCAGAAGTGCTGACCATACCTCCCATCAACGAGTAGAAGAGATAATAGTGCATGTGGTTTTGTTCCTCCTCCCCCCAAAGGAATGCAGCGAACACCTCTTCTACTGTCCTGATGAATACCAGGTATTTTAGCAGCAGTTCCGATAGACCCTTGTGTAGGAAACGTAAGATGTGCTTGCGGCACCTGGTCCTCGCAGTGGTCTGGTGGGCGATATGTTATTAACCACGACCATCACTCATGACCGTCACTCACTTTATTATAACCAATAATACTGGTCAATCCACCATCCAATGCAAACAGGCTCCTGTGGCCATTTTGGCGGTTCCTTATCAGAATGCTGGAAATCTCAGTTCCCCTTGCTGGTTGCCCACCACCTAGATGGATGGCTACTAGAAACAGGGTGTTGAGCTCCTGTGCCACGTCCATCCACTTGGACAACATCAACCGATTCCACTCGATCCCACCATCGGGGTTGGTGACGAACCATTTGGGCTTTCCAAGGGCAATGAGCAGATCCCGTCTGACGCTCATGATGCGTGGGTCGCTGAGAAAGCTATAGTTGGGGATCCTATTGTGGAGGTCATCGGTGATCCCAGAACATTCTTGGAAAGGCATTTGGAGCTCAACTCCCTGGGAGAGCCATTGGATCTTCTCCTCGATGAGCCCCAAGATCCCATTGTAGAGGGTGGGAACATCCCCCAGTTGGATTTGCTGGCCCTTGACCGTTATGGACTTGTTATCGTCGTTCCACATCACTGTTGAAAACCCCTCCTCATCGTTCATGGCAACGGTGGTTGCATAACGGTCAGCAGACAACACTGTATCGAAGGGACTGGGAAATCCGGAACGTAGCCAGCAGGAGCATAGCTCCATACAGGTCCTTTGGAAAAAAAAAAAAAAAAAACCCCGTTAGAGGTCATAGATGAGAGGTAAAATAAAAATAAAATTACATGAACTCGTTGCTCTTCACCACATCCTCCACCGATGATCCCTCATCAGTGATTGCTGCTATACAAATCTCCTTGATCGCCACCAACCGGAAGACGTGGAGCATCCCTGACATCCGGCCACATATTGCCGAACAGGATGCAAACCTCCCATTGTTGGGATCCAGGTTCAATAGCATGAGGAAGATGAGTACAGGATCCTTTTTGGATTCCTGTAAGATTTTTCGGTGGGTTGAAAAGAGGAGCGAGTGAAGGAGGCGATGGATCAATAAGTCCCATTCATCATCGTCGTCCAGTGCCACTGGCGATCGGAGGGCCTCATATAGCCTTGCTATATCCCCTTTCTGCCCATCAGTGAGGATGATGTGGAGGGGGAATTCTTCGTTGACATGGCAGTATCTGAGAACAAAGGTGACCAGCCGTGAAGCCAATTGCTCGTACCGGATTGACGTCGAGGTGTGTTGAGGTAGAGAGAAGGGGATGTTCTCGACGGCGCTGCATGCATGCATCAGTCTAGAGACGACAAGAGAAAGAGCAAGCACTCACTTGGCCGTGCTGTTGACCCATTTTAAAATGATAGGCGATGTGATCTCGATCAGTGGATGAATCCTCTTGAAATACCCTGCCACCCGACCAGAAAGCGGCTGCAACCATTGGGGATCAGTCGACACTCGAGCTAGAGTGATCTCATGCAACTACTGAAAAGGGAGACGCTCGGTGAGCTTCAGCCACCCAAAGGTGGCTAAGAAACCGTTCACATGGCGTGGGTCGTCAGAAACGTCCATCGTGGTTGGGTTCCATCTGGATTCTTCCTCCTGGAAGAGACCCATGAAGAAGGATTGTAGATCGGGGTCCAAAGCGCTGCAAGACATGTAATTCTCGTTGACGGGCCACACCTGATGGCCTTTGTTTGCCTTCAGTATCACTTGGACTGAGCTCTCGATGAGTCTGAAACCCTCTTCGTGGTGATGGTTACTTATCATCGACTTTCTCGCCAAGCCAGCAAATCCGCAGCCAGGGAAGGAACACATGAAGCCAGGGACTATGGGGATAGATTGGATGGGGGGCACCTTGGACCTTGGACGAGTGACAGTGAACGGGACGCCTAGCTGGATGAGGATATCCTTGTAGTTGGCAGGTAGTTGGCCAATGTTGTTATGCTTGGAGGTTATGTGATTTGCGAGATACTCAGGTTTGATACCCACTCTACATCCCTGGCACACGATAACCTTCCAGCAAGGATCGATCCCCAGCTGGAGATGATGAAACTTGGGGGGGATGATTAGATCGTCTGAACGCAGCACCTGGCGGTTGGAGAGCTCCTCCTTATCGCTGTCCGGAACTAAGACGATTCCCTTGTTGCACTTGGCCTTGTGCATCTGCAAACAGGCCTCACTGCCGAATGTCTCTGAACAAGAAGGACACTGGCCACCCTCTTTGCGATGCATCCTGAATGCCAAAGAAATGAGGACATAGGGAGACACTGGCAACGACACGCTCACTTTTCTTGTTGGAGGGAAGAAGGCTGTCTTGGCATTGTTTGAACCTACCAGGTACATCAGTGACGAGCATGGATGCAAGAAGGATGTTAACGCACTCAAAGGGGGGAAACGTCGAGGACGCCATCTCCCACAGCCTGACTGAGTATTTGTAGATGCGACTGTGCATCAAAATTCCTCATGGAATAAGTGGACATGTCCATGAGGGGATTTGGTCAAACGTTTTTCGTGTACATGTTTCGTCCTTGCCTATTCAATCAAACGTTTCTCATGGAGCAAGTGGACATGTCCACTTGCTTGTCCTTACCTATTTATTCTCACGGAGCAAGTGGAGATGTTCACTTGCTCGTCCTTGCCTATTCAGTCAAACGTTTCTCACGGAGCAAGTGGGGATGTCCACTTGCTCGTCCTTGCCTATTTAGTCAAACATTTCTCACGGAGCAAGTGGGGATGTCCACTTGCTCGTCCTTGCCTATTCAGTCAAACATTTCTCATGGAGCAAGTGGGGATGTCCACTTGCTTGTCCTTGCCTATTCAGTCAAACGTTTCTCACGGAGCAAGTGGACATCTGTCCTTGCCGACACAGAGCAAGTGGACAGCCTATTTTTTCGTCAACCATTTCTCACAGAGCAAGCATGGATATATATACCTCGACTCGTTGTCTCTGCAGCCCCCCCAACTTGCACTCACCTCGTGCATTGCGATCGTTTGCTTGGGTTCACTTGTCCAGAACACTGATGGTGTCACAAAACCTCCCTGGCCCTGTGGAGAAGCCTGCCGCTACGCTCTGTGATGTTTTTGGTGGGAGACCCTGAGAAATGGGACGCAGTTAGCCATGGTATGCGAACTAAGTCAATAACCTTCTCCTGTGTCATTCTCCTGGGACATTGCGGGCCAGCAGCAGAGCTTCACTGGCAGGGAACGGGGTGTGTCAGGTGACGGATCGGACAAGTCTGTTGATAGGTGTTCCCATGTCTCCGTGGCCAGTATATCTTGCACCCATGCCACTCTTTTCCACTTGTTCATCCAGAATGCTGATGTTGGCCATGATGTGTCAGCGTTGGCATTCAGCCAGGGCCTTGACCTTCGTGAGACTTCATGGCTAGATGTTCAACACAGGAGATGAGTCAAGAGGCACGCCAACTGTTGCA